GGTTAGTTAAGTATGGTAATTTGCGTAGCCTATTTGGTAACTCTACCATTTTTGCTGAAACACAATAAGTTGTGAAGTTGGACTGAAACTTTCAGTCTTTAAGCAGAGCAATACTACTACTCCCTCCGTTCCGATTTACTCGTCGTGATTTTAGTTCAAATTTGAATTAAAACCACAACCAGTAAATTGAAGTGAAGAAAGTACCATTTAAGGGTATTTGGTCATCGGAATAACAGCGTGCATTTGTCAACAAATCATTACAACTACATGGTGCATGCTATTCATCGTGCAGTTTAATTTCTTCAACAATCGGCGTCAATAATATACTAATCTGTACCATATGCCTAAATAACGGCATTGCTCTCGACTCAGGAGATTGCGAATGGATCCCGAAGGCAACAGTAAACACGCCATCCTGGAGCGCTTGCTGGCTGACAAATATGCAGAGCCCATGAAACTGCCGTTTTCACTCTTGGAGGACATCACGAATGGTTTCTCTCCTGATCATCGAATCGGCATAGGAGGGTTTGCGGTGGTTTATAAGGTAAATAGCATTTTGATATGTGCAGGGGGGCAAATCTAATACTAAAACATGACTTGATACATCCATATGTAGACAATCTAAGACAAGAATTTTGGGACGGAGGGAGTAGCATTTTGGTATGTGCAGGGCCAGACACACACGAAGCTGACAATGCATATTGTCACCACAGGGGGTGGTTGGAAAATACACGGTCGCTGTCAAGAAGCTATCCAACACATACAATATCCGCGAGAATAAATTCCACCAAGAGGTTAAATGCTTGATGAAGGCTAAGCATGAGAACATAGTACGTTTCTTGGGGTACTGCGCTGAGACACAAGGGGAAATGGAAGACTACGAGGGAAAGCTTGTCATGTCAGATCAACGAAACTGGCTACTTTGCTCTGAGCATGTGCCCAACGGGAGCCTTGATAAGCATATTGCCGGTAGGATCGATGCTCAACTTGTATTTCTGTCAATGTTTATTTACTCTATTCTAGGTTATTTGACTACTTAGCATGTTCTGTACTTTGCATTCCTAGATTTACATTGCAATATCAATGTCGATAAAAATAAAATATGAATATTTTAAAAACCTACTACCTCCTCTTCAGATGTATCTACTGGACTTGAATGGAGAGAGCGCTATCGAATAATCAGGGGAATATGCGAGGGGCTACATTATCTTCATCAGAAGTGCATTCTTCATTTGGACCTCAAGCCCGCTAATATACTGTTAGATGATCACATGGTACCTAAAATTACTGATTTTGGTCTATCAAGGTGTTTCGAGGAAGGGCAAACAAGTGCATTCACTGAACAAATATTTCTATCACGGTAAGCAAGCCTCTTAAAAGTTATTCTTCTCTTTGGTGGCAAAAATTATTATACAATTTATTTGCACATTCATCAATCAGACTTCATAAATCTTGCAACAGAGGATATTTTGCTCCGGAACTACTGAGAGGACAAATCACATATAAGTTAGACATATTTAGCCTAGGCGCCATAATCATGGAGATACTGATAGGAGAGAAGAGTTATCCCGAAGATGAGAAGGTAACAACAAGTTATGCTATGCTCCAAGTTAGTCGAAGGAAATATTTTGAAATCAATGTTTTACACTCCAGTTTAGCATATATCTCTGTTCCATTATCACTAATACAAATAAAAGGTGGTAGGGCATTTTGATCCAACCCATCCATACATACTTTCAGCAACCACTCATGATTTAAGTTTGCAATAGTTATATCTTAGTCCCATGCTTGCGAAATCTAGTCATCTGTGTGGTTGGTGAGAGAAGAAACGCCTTTAACGAAGTTAAATTCAATGTGATCTTTTACATATGTTGGTACATTCTCTTGGACTATGTGCATTGCACGCGTACACTTCTTTGAAAGCGTACATTTTTAAGATGTTTGAGATAACTCACATTTTTCTTTAAATAACTCATATTCATTGTTACCAAGCTATGTGATTTTGATTTCCTACTACTACCGAACGTATACATGTGATGCACAGTTTTAATATATTGACTACTCCACCCAAAATATACTTTCACCAATTTAAAATTTATCCTTACATTTTATTTGGTTTATAACTTAGCACATTCACAATATTAACTACACCTTGCTAAATAAATAAACTAACACAACGTTTTTCTTAGAATACATAAATAGGATAAAAAAATATATGTGATTAACCCTTTAGTGAAGTCATTAGAAGCTAAGGTTCCAAGTTTTCTTTCTTGGCCACATCAGATTTGATATTCTGAATGATTAACATTGGTTGGTTTTCACAAAAAATCATTCTTGTAAGTAGTATAGCACTATAGGTATGCACATTTTCTTGTGGAAGTAAATTAATCCCGTTTTCTAGACACCGACTACAAGAAACTATGCATAGTGAATCGTCACAAAACAAAGTCTCCATATCACTAGTTATATTTTGTGAAATTGCATCAGAATTTTCTTCATGTAACATGACTCGCAGAAAGTACATTGAGAAACTTTCCCCTTAGCATAATTTCATCTACCATGACACGAAATATTCATTGTATAATTTTTTCAGGCAACATCTCAGATGGCCCTTCTTTCATTTCGAATAGTTGAAACAATAACCCAGCTGGAATTTGGAGCCTTGATGTTGTATAGGGATGTAATATTGTGTCTAGTGATCAAAAGCAAGATGATTAATTGTTTGTAACTAACAAAATACTAATCATATGATCATATCGCTTTTGATCTGACCTTTAATTATGTGTAGTGATCCCAAATTACATACAATCGACTTGTTTGGCTGTCAATATGACCTTCTTGCAAACAATACGTAAATACATATGTACGTGAGACCCAGAAAAGTTGTTCCCCACACTGTTGTATGGGGCACGGCGTTAGTTATATAAATACTAAGTAACTCATGATTGCAAATTTGTAGGTAGTTGCCAGTTGGATGAATCAGGTAGTTGCAAGTTGGATGGATCGACTGGAGGCATTAGAGGGAGATACACAGTTGGAACAAGTAAGAGTATGCACTAAGATAGGGATAGAATGTTTGGACTTGAACCCGAAGAAGAGACCAGATGCAGGGGACATAATCGATAGGCTTGATAAAACAGGAAGTGTGGACTATTCAGACAAAATTGGTATCAGCAGTTCATCATCTGAGCAGGTTGGTTTACTGAACGGTCTCAAGAAAGAAGTTTACTAATTAGACGTCACGTGCAACAGATAACATCGTGTTGGAGACCTTTTGTAAATTATACTATTCTTTCACTTTTCTTGATCTCCCTATAATATAACAGTATAATCTTCTTTGTTAGAGTCACAAGAAGGTCAAGCCTGCAGACCTTATCCAAGAGGATGAAAAGGTAAACTGGAGATCATTCAACGTTGATGGTCTAAACAAGTTCACAGAGGTTGAGATTAAAAGGATCACTGACAACTATAGCACTCTCATTAGCAAAAGTGGCTCCGCAGAAGTTTACCATGGTGTTCTTGAAGATGGTAGTTCTGTTGCAGTCAAGATTCCACTCCCAGATATGAAGGAACATTTTGCTAAAGGAATAATCATACATTGCCAAATCAACCACAAGAACGTTGTTAGGCTCTTGGGCTACTGTTCAGAGGAAAACGTTTTAATGATGATCACCGAATACACCTCTGGAGGAAACCTCAGAGATGTTCTTGATTCCAGAGAATATCCCATTTCTTTAGATGCAAGGTTGGGTATTGCTCTAGACTGTGCAGAGGTGTTAAGCTACACGCATTCTTCCATGTGTCCACCAATCATTCACGGTGATTTCAAGCCAGGTAACATCCTTTTAGATGATAACTTTGGTGCGAAATTATTCGACTTCGAGATATCCAGAATGTTTTCCAAGGACAGCACTCAATACACAGTGAATGTGATAGGCAGCATAGGTTACATGGATCCGTTGTTTGCTAAGACTGGGTACATCGATCCGAAGAGTGATGTTTACAGTTTTGGGATCGTATTGGTAGAACTAGTCACCAGAAAAAAGGTATATGAAAATGGTACAATTACTGACCTCATAGAAACTTTCATCCTAGCTGTTCAAAAAGGAAAGAAGGCAAGAGAGATGTTCGATGCTGATATAGCACAGTCGAGCAACATTAAGGTTCTTGACAAGATTGTAAATCTAGCAGCTGAGTGCCTCAGAATGGAGATGAGCAAACGCCCTCAAATGGAAGATGTTGCAGAACGTCTTCGGATGCTAATAAAAGCTCGTTGCCAGCCGGGTGAAGAAAAAACTGCAGGTCACTGGACATTGTGGGGAAAACAAGACAACAACACAACACAAAGCGAAAGGATTTCCAGCTCTAACTCTACCGTGTTCTTCAACTTGAACAGTTTGGGCATCTTCAGTAGGAATGCGCACACGAATTTCAAAAGGAATGGAGGTCCAGTACTGCAGAATGTCAAGGGACTACACATTTTCACAAAAAGTGAACTAAGAAAAATCACCAACAACAACTCAGAGTTTCTTTCAATCGGAAGCTTTGGTAAAGTCTGCAAAGGAACCCTTCCTGACAACATCGCAGTGGCAGTTATGTCCTCTGTCAAAGTAACTGAATCTATAAAAGAGCAGTTTATCAAGCAACTCGAGATCCAGACACATATGATGCACGTGAATATTCTCAGCCTCATCGGTTGCTGCCTGGAGGTGGATGTTCCAATGTTGGTGTATGAGTTTGCCGGCAAAGGAAGTCTTCAAGACATTCTTCATGGCAACAGCAGAAACCAAAAGCTCCCCTTAGACCTGCGTCTGGATATTGCAATTGGAACTGCACAAGGTTTAACATATATGCACTCCTACGGAGATCAAGCCATACGGCACGGTGATGTCAAACCGGACAACATACTTCTGGATGACAAGTTCGTACCAAAAATCTCGGATTTCGGGTTATGGAAGGTGCTTAGAGAGGAATATTATTTCGGCAAGATTGTAGCTGGGGACATGGCCTACGTTGACCCGGTGTTCCTTAAAACCGGGCAACTGACAGAAAAAAGCGACGTCTACAGCTTTGGGGCGATTCTCTTAGAACTCATTACCAGGAAGCGAAGTGTATATGATGAATACTGTAGCCTCATTTTGGAGTTCCGTAAAGTCTGTGAGAAAGAAAAGAGCGGTAGGGCGATGTTTGACGAGGAGATCGCAACTCAAGAAGAAGATATCTATTGCCTGGAAGAAACTGGCAAGCTGGCAATTGAGTGCCTAAAAGAAGATGTAGAAGATCGGCCCGACATGGCGGCGGTAGTCGAGCGACTAGTAATGCTTAAAATGGATAGGATGCTTAAGAGTTAGGAACGGCATCCAAGTGACTTGTACTTGATTTACAATTTACTTGGCCACTTTCCTCTGCTCTCTGTATATCACTGTACATGTGAGTAAAATGTGAGGTCAACATTAACCAGCTCTGTGCAATTCTGCATAACTGAACTATAGTACCATCATCATGAATGGCTAGCCAGTTTGCAAAACTGGACTCCCATACGATTGGGGTGATGGGATTTTGCTTTTATACCAGGAGCAGTTTGGAATGCAGGATGTGTCTGTGAATACATTGTATTGGCGTGTCATTTCTTCTTCTATTCCTGAACTTTTCGAAGGATTGCAACAGCCAATTAGCATGGGCGAAACAAAAGCGTGTTTGGGGGTAAACTGAAGGATTTTAAAGGGACTAAGCGCATATCATCGGACCCGGTTAAAGCCTGGCGGATGGAATCAAGAAAACTACTGTAGGTAAGATGCATGGAGAACATGATGATATTATTGGTTTGGATGGACATGGGAATAAATACTGATTAATTTGCGGTGACTGTCTCCGACATGAGACTTACCTGGGGATGTAGGCGTGGATCGATGATGAACTGGAGCGAGGCGAGCAGTGTAGCCCCCAAATCTCTTGAGCTCCGTGGGACGAGATCAACTGCTTGCGCCATGCGGCCGGGCAGGGCCGAGCCGGAGAAGTTACTCGCGGGGAACTGAAGAAAAGAAGGAGATCTGGCGGGCCGGGGGCCGAGGAGAGGTGCTGCAGCTGGTGGGGTGGGGTGGGACTCTCCTCGCCCGCCGGCTGCTCTGCTGTAGTGCAGGTGCAGCGCGCCGCTCCAAGGAAAGCCGGAAGAGGAACAGAGGATGATTGGATTAGAGTTTATAGAAGGTTCAGCCATGGCTATCCGCTGCCGCCACTGTCCCTGGACAGAGGAAACAGGTCTGAAGAACGGCCTGTCCATCACGACGGTAAATCGCAGAAAACCATCATAAAAATGATTGGTTTTGCAGAAAACACTACGTTACATATTTTTAGCAGAAAACACTATGTAACATGATCTTTTGGCAAATAACACTGATCGGCATATTATGGTTGTTTGAGCGGGTTTACGACATATGAGGCTCACTCATCAGGAGCTGACTTGGCAAAAAAAAAAATGCCACATAGGCGTATTGACTGATCTACTCCTTCCCCTCTCTTTGAAAAAACAAATGCGCCGTTGCGCGCCCCTCGCCGCCCAGGCCCTCGCGCCATGCCTCCAGCTGGATACGGAGACATCCATCTCCATCGTCCCCGCCCTGCACCAGATCTGTCGGGATCCGCCCTGAACGGCTACTGCTGGAATGCATGCTCGGTGTGCGTCGGCTGCGGCTCGATGCCGACTGTCCAAACACGGCAGCGACTTTTGCTGTAGTGCAGCGCCCCGCTCCAAGGAAAGCCGGGAGAGGAATAGAGGATGATTGGATTAGAAGGTTCAGCAGCCATGGCTATCCGCTGCCGCCACTGACGCTGGATAGAGGAAATAGGTCTAAATAATGGCCTATGTCCATCACGAGGAGAAAACACGAGAGGCTAATTGGTATATTTGGCATTGTCAATACTTGGCAAGCTAACAATTGGTAATTTCAAAAGTTGCCAAAAATTGACTACTTCTTGTCAGGTTGGCAAGTTAAATTGATAACCAAGCAAACACTAGCCAATATTTGGCATTTGCCAAATGTTGGCATATGCCAATTTTTGGCATCAAAACAATCATGCTTTGAGCCCAAACTTTTGGCAAAAACCCAACAAACTGACCTTTTATGCCCTGCTTGGAATCGGTGTAACTTTATATGATCCAGATTTAATTTACAGGTGTATATTAGCGGTCGTAGTGTAAATTTCGTCTAGAATAAAAAAAACGACGGCCGGAGGTGTTTATCGTTTTACAAGGGTACCTAGAAGCTAAACGATAATCCAAACATGGCCCTAATAAGTTTTGCAGCATTCTGAAAAATGTGCATCCGTAGGAATGCATGCTTCATGTCTGCAAACTTTCATGACAAAATAAGTTTTTTATTGGTGATATATAAAAAAAAAACTCAAATCAAAACATATCTCGTCATGAAAAATTACTAACATGCTGTATACATCCTTTATGTGCATGCTTTCGTAATTTGTTTTCTTATACTAAAAGCAGTCATTGTTTGAAATTTTCAAAATTTGTGCTCGAGTTCCATTAGCAATTTCCTAATGCTTCCCGGCTAACACTCCTCGCCCGCCGGCTGCTCTGCTGTAGTGCAGGTGCAGCTAGCGCGCCGCTCCAAGGAAAGCCGGAAGAGGAACAGAGGATGATTGGATTAGAGTTTAGACGGTTCTGCTCCGGTGCTCCCCCCTGGGCTGAACGCGAGGGGGAGAAACACAAGGATGGGTGAGATCTGTCAAAAACGATTCGTTATGCCCGCGGAGAGCGCGCGTACAGCCCTGTACAAGCCCGCACCGGCCCGATTACTTTTGTACACTGAGGGTATACATGTACTGTACGTGGGCGTATCGTTTTCCCTTGTCACGTGCGGCGGTTGTGGGCGTGGGCGGCGGCGGTCGTGGGCTAGCCACGCAGCCACGCGGCGCACGAAAACTTCCAAAAACGTCACATCCTATAAAGAGGGAGGGGAACCACCACCGGCCGCATCGCCCCCACCATTTACCCCCAAATCGGCTCACTCCCTGTCGCATCGTCTCCCCCTCGTCTCCATCGCCCCGCCACCGCACCTACTCACTCAACCCCACCGCCTCCCTCTCTCCGGTGGGTTCTCTTAGGCTTCGATGGCGCAAGGTGGTGGCGCTGCCGCCGCTGCGCACGGAGTTGCGGTCGAGGCCGCGAACACCGCGGCAGATGCCGTCCAAGAAGTGGCCGCCGTCGGCGGTGCGGGAGATGCTGCACCCGCAGTCGCTGGATCGGTCGCTGCGGCGGCGGATCTGGTGGAGCAGGGGGTGGCGGGCTCGGACTCCGTCGTGCCGGACCTGGTGGTGACGGCGTCTCGCAGCGCACTGGATGCAGGTGCGGAGGTGAGCGACAAGCAGGTGGTGGATGTGGTAATCCTTCTCGTTCCCCTCCTCTCTTAGTTGTAGTTGTTAAGCAGAAGATTTAGTAGATAGGGTTTTTTTATTGTAGATTTGTGATTGAATGCGGCACCCCCTTCTGCTTGTTAGGGTTTTTTGACTGAATGGGGAACCCCATTTGAGAGTTAGGGTTTTTTGTAGTTGATTCGTGGTTTAATGCTAGAGAGATCATAATGAGAGTTATGTTTTTTATATTAGAATCTGGATTGCCTCATGTGCTCAGATTTTGTTCTGTGTTGTATATGTTGTTAGATTTGTTTTGCATATTCCCTCAGTGGGCCACGGCAGGGGCTGAGCCGCCACCCAGTGCATCTATTAAAGTTGATATTGTACAAATGTGGTTAAAATCCTACTTTGTTCATTTGAAGTCTATCAATTAATTGTTGAAATGAACACAGTACGTTTAACTAGTGCACAATTTCAAAATAGTTAGGAGCTTCACTTCATTATCTATAAACTCAAATTGTAGGTAGGTTTATTTTTGATCTGTAGGATTCCTGTACTTATAAAGTGAACCATAAGTAGGTTTGCTAGACATGCAACTATGCCAGATGACCAACTCATATTAAATTGTTGTTGCATAACTCCATGCATGAATGTCATATGAATCATCCAGTAGATGTAGTAGTTAGGGTTTTTTAATTAGATGTTTAGTTAGGGTTTTCTTGTATTGGATTCATTTATAGCCAGTTGTATGTATGATCTATGATTGAATCATCCAGTAGATGTAGTAGTTATGATTTTTTAATTAGTTGATTAGTTAAGGTTTATTTGTATTATTCATTTATAGACAGTTATATAGATTATGTGATTGAATGATGTAGTAGATGTACTAGTTAGTGTTTCTTAATTAGATGTTTAGTTAGGTTTCTTTTGTATTGGATTCATTTATAGGCAGAGATAAATGTAATTAAATGGTGTGACTGAATGATGCAGTAGAAGTAAGAGTTATGATATTTTAATTAGATGTATGAGTTAGTGTTACTTGTTGTGGATTCATTTATATCCAATGATATATGTAAGTAAATTTTGTGATTCAATATTCCAGTGGATCTAGGAGTTAGTGTTTTTTAATTAGATGCTGAAGTTAGGGTATTTTAATTAGATGTAGGAGTTAGGCTTCATCATTTCACTTATTCTGACATATGAGTGCTCATTAAGAACTGCTCTGAACTAATTATTTATTAATATTTACAAATGAAATAAAAACCTGACATGTTTGTGAAGTTATATATAAAGGTCCTATTTGCATTGTCTGTCTGCTATCTCATTGGTTAATAAGAGAGGAATGATATTCATTTATACCTTCATATGCATGTTGAAAAGCAAAATCTGAATTTGTATGTCCATATGAATGAACTTGTATGTTCATAATCCTATTGTTTAGTATCTATATAGCTTCATATATAGTCTATGAATTAGTTGTTGAAATGTACATACCATGTGTAACCTATGCACCTTTTCAATATAGTTAGGAGCTTTCCATCATTATGCAAAATCAACTTGTTTGTAATGACATTATTTGAACTGCAATTCAATTCCTTTGTAAATGACTTGCTTGGTTGACAATATAGCAGAAGGAGGATCTTGTTGGCAACAAGAGGAAGTGGGACTCATCTGGGTACTACCCTTATGACAGTGATGAGGATGAGCCGTACGAGGTAAGGCCTAGTTGAAATGTTATTTGTGCATTGAGTTAGTGTTAGATGTTTATAGTATTTGAATGCATAATGTATTAATGTCAGTCATTAATGTGTGCAGTATGAATCTAGAGATGATGTGGTCGAGGGAAACGTCAAGTCCTTTAAAGAGAAGGAGTTGAAGATCAGGGCCCAAGGACCTGCTAAGTACTACAACTGGATGAATAGAAAGTACCGGTGCCCCTACTGCAGCAAGCCCAAGCCCAGGTCTGGGTTATTGGAGCATTTGA